CGCCTCTAATCCCAGCACTCAGGAGGCAGAGGCAGGTAGATCTCTGTGAGTTTGAGGCCAGCCTGGTGTACAACACAGGCTAGTTCCAGGACAGGCTCCAAAAAAAAAAAGCTACAGCTAAAGAGAAACCCTGTTTCAAAAAAACCCAAAAACAAAAAACAACTCCCTCCCAAAAAACTGTGTAAAAAAAAAAAAGAAAAAGAAAAAAAGCATACTATACACTGTAATTACATATCTGATTCATACTACATGAAGCTGCACTGCCTTGAACTTTTTAAAAATCAGCTAAGGACTTTGAGTAGAAAGGGGGACTGCTGGGGATTGAACCTGGGGCTTTACATATGCTTGGCGTGTGCTCTACCACTACAGCATCAGCTCTTGGGACGCTGGTTTGTAATATTTTACTTTTTTTTTTAAAAGATATATTTATTTATTATGTATACAACTTTCTGCCTCCATGTATACCCAAACGCCAGAGGAGGGCGCCAGATCTCATTACAGATGTTTTGGAGCCACCATGTGGTTGCTGGGAATTGAACTCAGGACCTCTGGAAGAGCAGACAGCGCTCTTAACCACTGAGCCATCTCTCCAGCCCGTAATATTTTACTTTTATGTACACAACTGTTTTTGCTTTCGTGTGTGTCGGTGCACCACTTACATCAGGCGCCCATAGAAGGATCCCCTAGAACTGGAGTTACAATGACTGTGAGCTGTCATGTGGATGCTGGGAATCAAAGCCGGGTTCTCTAGAGTAACCGCCAGTGCTCTCAACTAATGAGCCATCACCTCAGCCCCAACCTATTCTTTAGTGAACAAAGTACTTCTGGCTGTTGTAGACAATTTTTGTTTCCCAAGAAAGGTTCTCACTCTCTAGCCCAGGCTGGGCTTGAATCCCTTCAGTCCCCAGTACCAATATCAGGTTGCTCATAACCACCTGTAACTCTAACTCCAAGGAATTTGACAGCACTAGCCTCTACAGGCACCTTCACTCATGTGCAAATATGCACACACAGGAGCACGAGTGCACATGCTCTCGAGCACGCGCATACACGCGCGCATGCACACACAATTAAAAATAAAAACAAAATTTTAACTAAACGAACAAGTAGGTTCAAACTGCAATCTGAGCACCGCAAATAGATGCCAATAAATATAAATGTGTGTGGGACTCCAAGCCAGGGCCCGCCATCTGCTCACAGCCATCTACTGACCTTGGCTGCCCAGGGTAGAGGCAGCTGTGTGGTAAGTCTCACAGTCCACACAAAACGTCCCTTGTTTCTCTGCCCCGAGCATCTCCAATTTCCTAGTAAGGAGCTCCACCGTCTGCTGGACACTCTTGCCCTCAGCCACAGGCATCTGGGACACACTGGAAAACAGAACAAGTCAGTGATGTCCAGAGCACACGTGCTCTGGCTCAGTCACTCATTCCAGACAGGTCACAGTCCAACAGCACTAGGCGTTACATTAGACAACATTAACTCTGATCCCTGTCCCTCAAACCTGAGAAGAGGCCCACAGTCTGCAAGAATTCCTCTAAGAGGCAGAGCACGGGTCTCAAGTGTTTCACACGTGGACATTAAGCTTTCTACCACATCCCCAGGGAAGACACGTGTGCCAACATTCTGTGAAGATTCTAGGTGGTACACACTGCACACATCCAGTATCATTGAGTTGTTCAATGAATGTGATGGTGTATGCTGCCAACCTGAGAGAATCTACAATCACTGGTTACTTGTTGGAGACAGGGTCTCACAACCACTCAGCCCAAGCTGACCTCACTCTTTTAGCAATCCTTCTGTCTTAACCTCCCAGGGGCTAGAATTACAGGGTACACTTGGCTGAGATCTATTTCTTAGACTCCCGACCACATCTATGAGAGTCTATATTTAACTGAGGTGTGGATAAAAGAGCTGAGCGGGACATTCCCTCCACCCTCGACTACAGACACAATGTAACTAGCCACCTCATACTCTTTTGGCTCAAACAGTGAGTCAAAATAAACTGTCACAGGTTGCTGTTGTCAGGTCCCGAACCACAGGAGGCTGGTGGCTACTGTTCTGGACACTGTGGTCAGAACCACCACAGCGCTCCATTTACCAGCACTAAAAGTGTGAAGCAGCCCTCAAGGGTATAAGTCTAGAAAAAGATACCCAACAGTTCTTTCAAAAACTGCAACTATTTTCCAGGTTTCCACCTTATGGTAGCTTCCCCATGGAGCGGCAGGAAATTATTGTCAAGCACCAGCTATGTGTAAGACCTGTGAGCCTTCAGATGATTGTTCTTTCTTCTTTTTTCTTTTTGGAGACAAGGTCTCACTATGTAGCTCTGGCTGGCCTGGAACTCACTATGTAGACCAGGCTGGCCTCCAACTCATAGAAATCTGCCTCCCACGTACTGGGATCAAAGGTGTGGCCCTTCAGATAGAGTGACTGACTCTTCCAGTGGCCCCCGGAAAGGTCTTGTCCTACCTCAACTTACTGCAACTGGAGAAACTGCACTATAAAGGCTAAACAGTCTGCACAAGGTCGTACAGTTAATGAATAGTACAGATAAGATTCAAAGTCCTGCAACTGGGCTCGGCATCTGTGAGTGTTGTGTTTGGTTTGATTTCTCCGCATCTGTGAGTGTTTGGTTTTGTTTGATTTGGTTTTCTTGTCTTTTCTTTTTCTTTTCTTTTTTTTGAGATAGGGTGTCTTTGTGTAACCCAACTGTCCTTGAACTCACTCTGTAGACCAGGTTGGCCTCAAACTCACAGAGATCCCCCTGCCTCTGCCTCCCAAGGGCCTCACCTGTGCTCTTTACCCACTCTCCTACACTGCCTCTAGGGATGTCATGACCTGCTAATACTCATTCAATTTTATTTCTTTATATGGTTTTCCCGGACAGGGTTGCTTTGTGTAGCCCTGGCTGTCCTGGAACTCAATTTGTAGACCAAGTTCAAGGCTGGTCTTTAACTCAGAAATCTACCTAACCTCTGCTACCTGAATACTGGAATTAAAGACATGAGTCACAATGACTGGCAAGGTAGCAATCTGGAAAATATTTTTAAAGAGACTGCTGGAGATTACGAACTCACATTGCAGCCACTACTGATCTGGAATTCACTACATTAGCCCCCGCTGACCTCCCACTTTTAGCAATCCAGCTGCTGCTCACCTATGTACTGGAATTACAGGTGCACACTTGGTTGAGACCTATGAACATGAACAATGAATAAATAATAACACAGATGGTATTTAACTGTTCATAAAAATCAACATTTTCTCCAAACTACTATGTTTTAAAAACCCTGTCTTCCTTTACAATCAATCAGACAAGTCTATTAAGGGAGAACCCTACTGTTACTAAAAACTTTTCTCTTTATGAAAAAAGCACCAATAAGGAATATATGAAACAGAAGAGACTTGCTAAAGTGACCCTGTGACAGAAACTCTGGGATCCTGAGAAAGCTGAAGTGATACTAGTAGACAGGGAACCTTTTTCCCAGGGACTCCCTTCTCTGTATAATTACCCAAGGTGGGCAGGCATTGGTGGCGCACTCCTGTAATCCCAGGACGCTGCAGTCAGAGGCAAAGACTCAGAAGCTACAGAGCAGCCTGGCCTAAACGGGCCATTAAACATAAAGATGGGGCATGGTGGGATTCTAGGGCTGAGTCGGCTGTGATTTCCATTTTCATTGCTGACAGGCACTATTTACAGTGTGCTGAGGTTGAGATAAGGCTTCAGGCATCAACTGTGGGCACATGTAGTCACTAAAAAGCATGCAAGAGCCTGGGCTACCTGAAGAACTTCCCACAGGCAACTTTCACAGAACAACCCTACTGTTCGTGACTTCACATACCCTGGCCTCCAGGCCTCTCTAACTGGGAAGGTGCACACCACTGCCAAGATTTTTTTTTTTAAGTGTGAGACCTAGTATTAATTAATGCCCAGAAAAGCACAGTGTCCAGCACTGGGGCGGGGGGGGGGGGGGGGGGGGGGGGGGGGGGGGGGGGGGGGGGGGGGGGGGGGGGGGGGGGGGGGGGTAGGGGGGCAGAGCTCTGTGAGTTCAAGGTCACCCTGCTCTACAAGAGCTACTTCCATGACAGGCTTCAAAGCTACAGAGGATCCCTGTCTGGAAAAACCAAAAGAGAGAAAGGGAGGGACGGAGGGAAAGAAAAGCAGTGTCCAGACGTTACTAACCACCTCTCTTTTTCCAAGTGAGATTTAAAACATGTTTAAGATAAAAAGTCAATAATCAAAACTAACTCATACATTTAGGAAGTGATTCCTGAATAGTTAATGACCCTGAACTCCGATCTCCAAATCCTCAAAGCTCCTTTCCCCCTCCCCCTGACGCTAGCCCCAATATCTTAAAGTGGACAAATTAAAGCCAGGCTGCTATAATTGCAAGCAAAATGTAAAAAGCACATTCTCCTCGCGCCCTTTTTTATCCCTGCCTGCAAATAATTCCTAGTCCAAAAACTCTATATGCAACTTTTGGGTTCTACTTCCAACAGTACTATGTCCTCACGGACAGGAAGAAATACCAAGAAAAAGAAGGTACAACCCCAGGCAGGCTCTCGGGACGAAGCACTCTCTTTGCCAAAGGGATGCGTCTGGGAAAGAAGAAGCACCACACGGTGTCCCTTGCTCCACACGACCTGAGGACATCTTTGTCAGCCCGCGAGGACCCGAGAAGTTCGGTCCCGATCTCCTTCCCGGACCCACTACAAGCTTACAAGCCTTCACGACCCCAAGCTCCGCCCCCACAGAAGCCCTTGCAGTCCTACCAAGTCACTCCCATGGCGTAGGGTCAAAAAGGAGGCACTTCCAAACACCCGAACTGAGAATTCAGAGGCCCACAGGAGGTGAAGCCACCTAAGGCTGAACGCAGTCGTACATCGGGCTCCGGAAATACGCAAATATTGGGCGCCAGGGCGGCGCGCCCAAAGGAAAGGGGCGTGCCCGAGCGCTTCAGCGGTGACGCTTCTAGTACGTCATCGGCCCGGCTCCGCCCCCAAGGCGCGCTTTGCTTTGACAGGACACCTTAGCCTACATTCATGAGTTCTGGAAAAGGTGACTCGGACTTCCACCTCTTCCAGACAATGAGAGTACCTGAGAATTGGGGGAGTCCAGCTCCAAGCCGCAGAGCTCTATGAGACATGGCGGTATATGAGGAACTTCCGGCCTCCGAACGCTAGGAGGCGCTGTGATCTCTCAGTAATCTCTTGGCCACCGGAATTAAGCGCGCAAGCGCAGTCTTAGGTTTAAAGCCGGCTCCCCACGTGTAAACCTTGTGGGCAAGTTTTTCGAGAAAAATGCCCAAATTCAAGGTGGCTCGTGGGGCCGGGAATCAGGAGAAGCATGCACCTCTGGCCGAGCAGATTCTGGCTGGGAATGCAGTGCGCGCAGGAACCCGAGACAAACGGCGAGGTCGCGGGGTCGAAGAGGAAGAAGAGTATGTGGGACCCCGGTTGAGCAGACGGATCTTACAGCAAGCCCGGCAGCAGCAGGAGGAACTCGAGACCGAACACGGCACTGGAGACCAGCCTGCAAAACCGCGAGAGCGCTCCACGCGGCTGGGTGAGTGACAGGAGGTGGAGTGGTGGGTTGGGCTGGGTTACCGCAGTCCATTCGGATACTGGGTTGGAATTAAAAAGAAGAGGCAGCTTTTCTTTCTTTCCCGCGTGGTCCTTCACTTCCACCTCTGGCTTCCGGAACCTCAGAGTTAAGCCAACAGGAAGTGACCGCGCACACCAAGTTCTAATATTTATTCTCTGGGCTTTTGAAGTATATGTGGGCTACCTGTGTTAATGCTTTTAACTGTGTTAAGAATTTAGGCAGTTCTAATACCAAAATAAACAAGATACTCGTCCCTGCTGTAAGCATCAGAAATCTATCCCAAAGCAGAGAACATTAAGGATAATTAGAGTAATATATTCCAGCCAGGAGCGGCGGTGCTCGCTTGTAATCCCAGCACTCGAGAAGCTAAGGCAGAAGCCTCTCTTGGACTACATAGTAAGTTCCAGATCAGCCTGAGCTACATAGTATAACCCTGTCCCTCAAGAGAGTGAAAGAAAATGAATATATTCCTATTCAAAACAAAACCGCTATTAATTCTCCAGGGCAGGTATCCCAGGTTTCGTGCCTTTCTAACTAAGATCCGGAAAGCAAACGGGGAATGTTCCAGTATCAGAGGAAGGCAAACACTGTGCTTTAGAAGTGCGAGGGCCACAGAGATGAGTGAAAAGTGCTTGATATTTGTCTCATTGGGAAGGAACTGTTGTTGATCTCCGGTTGTTTAGTTTTCCATTCTTTTTTGTCCCGAGAGCAGTACTGAGATAATTGATTATGGCTTTAGGGCCGTAGTAGCTTTACCCACTTTCTTTAGGTGTTCTGAGGTAGGGTCTCATGCCCAGGGTGACCTCAAACTCAGCGTGTAGGTGAGGATGGCCTTGAACTACTGATTTTGCCTCTGGTTCAGGGTGGTGGCGTTATAGATGTTTGGTGCCACACCTGCCCTTAAAAATTTTTTTTTTTACTTTTTATTTTTATTATTTATTTATTTATTTATTTTGGTTTTTCGAGACAGGGTTTTGCTGTGGCTTTGGAGCCTGTCCTGGAACTAGCTCTGTAGACCAGGCTGGTCTCGAACTCAGAGATCCGCCTGCCTCTGCCTCCTGAGTGCTGGGATTAAAGGCGTGCGCCACCATCGCCTGGCTGTTTTTTTACTTTTTATACTTTGTTTCCTTAGTTTGCTCATGCTGACCTTGCACTTGCTCTGTGACCAAGGCAGGCCTGCGCTGTTAGTCCTTCTGTGTTGCTGTCAGCGGGCTTCCAGGTTGAAGCCATCTGTTTAATGACTACTCCCAGCGTTTTCTTCCAGTAAACAAACATCCTTACATCCAGCTGTCTGCCTGACATCTCCGCTTGCTCCGTGGGGTCTGTTAGCACATTAGCCTTCCCAGGCTCAAAGCAGAATCTTGGCTCCTCCTCCTCCTCATTCTACACCTGATTAGTCAGTGAACCCCGATGATTTTGTCTTCAGAATATATCCAGAACCAGGTCACTTACCATTAACTCATAACATCTTCCTCTTTAAAGGACCACGCTCTCTCCCCTTAATTACTGTGGTAGTATCATAATTGTGTTCTGTAACCTCTGTAGTCCACTCAACAGCCAGAGATCAACACACTCTGCTTGGCCCACCTTTGCTGTTGGTCTGAACACGAACTAGGGAGGTGATGAGATAGTTCATTTGGTAAAATAGGTGCTTTTAAAGGCATGAAGCCCTGACCTCCACCCACGGCAGCTTGTGATCCCAGAGCTTCTAGGCTGAAGCCTAACCAGCTCATCCCAGGTCCCAGCCAGACCCTGTCACAAAAAAACAAGGTCATCAAATGCTGACGAGTAACACCGAATATTCACCTCTGCTGCACACACGATGCAAGAGTGCACATGCATGCAGAACTAAGATACCTATCCCACAGATGCCGACAGCCATCTCTGCCCTGTTCGTTTCATAACACTTGCCTTCTTTTGTTTTTTTAACATTTAATTTATTTTGTGTGCACTGTGTGCCATGATATGTAGAGAGCAGAGGAAAACTCAATAATTTGGTCCTCGGATCTTAGGAAAGCTCCGAGCTGGGCAGTGGTGATGCACACCTTTAATCCCAGCACTTGGGAGGCAGAGGCAGACAGATCTCCAAGCTTGAGACCAACCTGGACTACATAGTGAGTTCCAGACAGCTGGAGCTACACAGAGAAACCCTGTCTCTAAAAAAGGGAGGGGGAGGGTACACTTGTTCTTGCAGAAGACAGGAGTTTGGTTCCCAGTATTCACAGGACAGACCACAGCTGTCTGTATCTCCAATCCCACGGGATCGTGTGCCCTCTTCTGACCTCTTTGGACACCAGGCACACTTGTGATGAACAGCATACACATAACATAATACATATAAATTTACAAACAAAATTAAAAAAAAACAGTTCTCACTGGACATGTTATGCATACTCTCCTGAGCTATATATACCCTTAGTCCAGTTCTGTTGCAAATGACCTATTATTGTACGGTATTTCTACTCCTTTGGTTTGTTAGACTCTTTTCCAGGTGCTTTGCCAGCTATGTGTGGTGTTTCAAAAGTCAGCCAGGTGTGTTGGCACATGACTATAAATCCTCAGGAAGCAGAGGCAGGCAAATGGATATCTGTGAGTTTGATCAAGCTCCATGCCAGCCAAGGCTACATGGTCAGACCCTGTCTCTCAAAAATAAGTCAAGAGTTCAATGTTAGGCATTGTGGTACATGTTTATGATTCTAATACTTGGGAGGTGGAGACGGGAGAATCAGGAATTCCAGGTCATCCTTGACTGTATGAGTGAGTATTGCAGAATAGAATATTTGTTTAACTTTGTAAAGATGTGTTACTTTTGTTTGTGTTGCAGAATAATTGTTTAACTATCTAAAAATATATTGGATTTATTTAACTATGTAAAGATATGTTGTTGTTTCGCCTTGCCAGCCTAAGGTACCTGATAGGTCTAATAAAAAGCTGAATAGCCAGTAGCTAGGCAGGAGAGGGTAGGATGGTCTGGGGTGCAGAGAGAAAAAAGGCCAGCCCAGCATGGACCTGCCAGCCAGACACAGAGGAAGCAGGAAAGCAGGATGAACGGTACCTAGATGAGGTGAATGAGCCTCAGGGCAGCACATAGATTAATAGAAATGGGTTAATTTAGGGGCCGGGCGGTGGTGGAGCACGCCTTTAATCCCAGCATTGGGGAGGCAAAGGCAGGCGGATCTCTGTGAGTTCGAGACCAGCCTGGTCTACAAGAGCTAGTTCCAGGACAGGCTCCAAAACCACAGAGAAACCCTGTCTCGAAAAACCAAAAAAAAAAAAAAAAAAAAAGGTAGATAGAAAGAAGCCTAAAGCTGAGGCCGAGCATTCACAGTGTCATGTCATGATTTGGGGACTGGGGGTCCAAGTCGGTAACTTACGTGTGTTGGTTGATTAGAGACTGAATACCACTGCGGTAGCCTTGGGGCCTTCCAGGTTGGCTGTACCTTTCCTTTCTGGTCCTATTTCTGGCTCTGACTCTTTGATGCCCAACATTCTGATAGTATTAAAGCCCTTTTCTAGGACATGAGACCCACTGCTGCTCTCACATCGCCCATCCAGAGCCTCATCAGTGCTGTGGCACCTACTGCCTCTACCATCCTTTTAGTGTTAGCGCAGGAGTCAGCTCTACCGTGCAAGCCAGCAGGGAAGAAGGCGCCGTCGGGATCCCACCTGCCTGCTCTGAGCACATCAACTTTTCCGTCTTAGTTTGAACTCGGTGCAGTGATAGTGCCGACTTCTTTTTGGTTTTTTGAGACAAGGTTTCTCTGTGTATCCCTTGCTTTCCCAGAACTCATTCTGTAGACCAGGCTGTCCTAGAACTCACAGAGATCTGCCTACCTCTGCCTCTGCCTCCCAAGTGCTGGGATTAAAGGCGTGCACCACCACTGCCCAATAATAGTGTCTATTTCTCAAGGTTATCTGACTAACCAGGTTGCTTGTGTGTAGATCCTTCTAGATTACTGGGAGCGGCATGTCAATCATTACTTACTGGCATTACTCTGTTTCATGTATTGTATTTTATCTCTCAAGATTCCAAGTCTTGCCAGGCAGTGGTGGTACACGCCTTTAGTCCCAGCACTTGGAAGGCAGAGGCAGGCGGGTCTCTGTGAGTTTGAGGCCAGCCTGGTCTACAGAGAGAGTTCTAGGAGGGGCTCCAAAGCTACACAGAAATCCTGTCTTAACCTCCCCCACCCCCAAAGAAACATTCTGAGTCTTAGAAGACAGAAAAATGGTAACGCTGTGCTCCTTCCTTTTGCACACGTGTGTCTCCAGCACCCAGGCATGCGGTGCATGGCAGAAGTGAACGGACTCAGTAGCCCCTGCCCTCTGTGCTTACCATTTTATCTTCCTCTTTAGGGCCAGGAGTGCCACAGGATGGATCTGATGATGAGGATGAGGAGTGGCCCACCCTGGAGAAGGCAGCCAAAATGACCGGGGTGGACCACCAAGCAGAGGTTGTTGTGGACCCTGAAGATGAACGTGCCATTGAAATGTTCATGAACAAGAACCCTCCCGTCAGGTAGGGCTGCTTAAGTGTTGGGACAGTGGATCCTGGTAGAAAATTCCCACAGACTAGTAAATACCCTGGCCAGCTTTTGGTTTGAGCATTCTCAACTATAGATACCAAACCTTCTGAATGGGTGTGACTCAGACTCCAAATATCTCCCCTTTTGTCCGTCCGATGTAGAACTTCCTGGATTACCCAGTTCCTTTTAATATCTGGAGTCCATTCCGCTGTGTTTGTTCTTGTGTATTGTTCAGATCTTATGCGTCCTTTAATTCGGGGCTTTCGGTCTCAACCCTGGCATTTGGGCTGGGTTACTGTGTGTGGAAGCTAGAACCTGAGGCTCCTCTGACATCTGCCTCTAGATACCAGTGGTGATAATGAAAAATTATCCCAGGCATTGCTAAATATCACCAGAGGGTAAAACTGCCTCCAGGCAGAACCGCAGATTCATCTTCATCTGGTATAAATGCTGCTTCTAAAGCATGCAGGTATTTAGGCTGCCTCTGGTCAGATTCTTGAGCCCAGTGGAGGGGAGTGAGTTTAGGGCAGAAGGCCCTCAACCAGTTTATTCTGACCCTGCATAACGCGGCCTTCCTCAGTTCTTCCAAGTGTGGTATACGTGAAATGATGAGCGCTTGAATGTAGGGAATGGAGAGGAGCCTCCCAGACGGTGTCTACGGCTCTAATAGAGGTCACAAAGTGTGTATCTGGGCCATGTGCCTGTCCCCAGACGGCACTCGGGCCCCTCATATCTGCTCTTTTGTGATTCTGATAGACTTAGCAGAATACGTTTCTATAATTTGCTGTTAGTGACAAGACAGTAGAAAAAGAGACTCGGAATTCTGCTGGCATCTTCAGAAGCCAGGTCAAGTTCTTTGGGAACACAGCCATCAGGCCACACTGGAGGCGCTGTGAAGCTCCATCAGGCTGTGTGATCTAGCGCACACTGGAGGCGCTGGGAAACACCCAAACTAGAGGTTGAAAAACTGAAATCTCACCCTTTCCCTAATAAAGCCTTAAGGCCTTAGGTGGGTTGTTAACCTCAGAGTCTCAAGTCCTACGTCTATGTCTGGAATAAAAGCACCTCCCATCAACCACAGTGGTGGCTCACACCTTTAATCCCAGCACCCAACAGAGGCATCTACAGCCAGGGCAACCCAGAGAAACCCTGTCTCAAAAAAATCTGTGTCCTCACTCAGATCATAGGACACAGATGCCATCAGCAGACTATAACCTTCTATGGTGGTAATTATTTTTTTATTTCTTCATTTTACTTTATTGTTGCACAAGGAGAGTGGCCCTTTGTTCCCTCCCAGCCGCCTGGCTAGCTTACAACTGAAATAATCGCACAGAAACTATATTCATTTAAATACTGCCTGGCCCATTAGCTCTAACTTCTTATTGGCTAACTCTTACATATTAGTTTAACCCATCTCCATTAATCTGTGTATTGCCATGTGACTGTGGCTTACCAGCAAGATTCTAACCAACGTCCGTCTCAGGCAGGAGATCCATGGCGTCTGCCACTCTGCCCTTCTTCCCAGCATTCAGTTCTGTCTACTCTGCCTACCTAAGTTCTGTCCTATCAACTAGGCCAAGGCAGTTTCTTTATTCATTATCCAATGAAAGCAGCACACAAACAGAAGGAACTCCTACACCACTTTATGTGTATGAGTATTTACCTGTATGTATGTACATCATGAGCATTCCTGGTGCCCATGAAAGTCAGAAGAATGAGAACAGGAGTCACAGCCACTGTGTAGGTGATGGGAACTGATCCCAGGTCCTCTGCAAGAGTAGTACGTGCTCGTAACTTCTGAGTTGTCTTTCCATCTCCAGGCTGTGGTAATTTTGAATCCTCATTTGATAGCTTTTGTTTAAAGAGGCTGAAATGGGGAGGCAGCAAGAAGGCTCAGTGGGCGACACATGCTTGCTACACAAGCCTGGTCCCTAAGTTCAGTCCCCGCAGCTTACCTTACGGTGGAAGGAGAACTCGACTCCACAGAGTAGTCTTCTGACTTCACATGAGCACACACAGCAATAACAGTAAAGTTTTCAGGGTAGTTGAAGGAGCTGAGAAGGGGGCCCTTGACTTTAAGACTGGTTTCTATGATAGAAGGAAGGTGTTGCTGTGGTAGCCTTCTTAGTGAATGAAGCTGCCTGGATAGAGATGCGTGTCACACCCACGAGGCCAGAGCTCCAGTTTGCACTCTGACAGTGCTCCCCGTTCTGCCAGGGCTCCCCATTCTGCCAGCAGTGATAGATGTGTTTGAAGTAGGCAGCCTGGGGGATACACACTGACTCTAGACTGGTAGTTCTGAGTGGTGCCCATGCAGTCTCGGATTTCACCCCTTAGCTGACTGGGCAAGGTTTTCCTATTACTGTCACCACTTCCTAGCTAGGAGAGGGAGGCATAAGGAAGTAAAGTGACAGGCCCAAGGTCGTACAGGGGCAGAAGAGTGACACCTGATTAGACTGGCTTCAGAGTGCAAGGACCTAACCTCCACACCTCCACACCACTGCTAGCTTTGTTCTAAACACAGTGACGTTCAGGTCCTTTGCTCTCTGCAGCAGTCTGTGGCGGCTAAGTGGACATACGGGGGAGTTGAGGCTGCATATGCCAGCGGGATCGCAGGTTGTCAGCACCCGGGGAATTTAAGTTGCTTCTAGCAGCACTTATGCTAAAACTGAAACAGTAAGAGACTGGTGTGGCCCCGTGCAGGGATGACATGCAAGTTTGTGGAGCATCCCTGTTTTGTTTTGGGACTGTTTTGTGGCTTTCATTTTTCCCTTTGAGATAGGATCTCACTGTGTGGTCCTGGCTGACCTGAAATTCCCTATGAAGGCCACCGTACTGGCCTTAAACTCACAGAGATCTGCTTGTCTCCCAAGTGTTGGGATTAAAGTCTTGTGCCACCACGGCTGGCTGGATGGTTTGTTTATTTCCCTCTCCCTCCCACCCTTCCATGAAAGGGTGAGGGGACTTTAAAGCTTCCTGAAAGTGACCCTACTTCTTTGTCCCTCCCCTGTCTCCACAGGCGCACTCTGGCTGACATCATCATGGAGAAGCTGACTGAGAAGCAGACAGAGGTAGAGACTGTCATGTCAGAGGTGTCGGGCCTGCCCATGCCTCAGCTGGATCCCCGAGTCCTGGAGGTCTACAGAGGGGTCCGGGAGGTAAGGGTTAAAAACAGGAGGGTTCTCACACATGGCACCTGACTGAGGTAGAATTGGTGGGCTCGGGCTCTTGTGCTGCCTCTTACCTGGAAGTCACTAAACTCTGGTCACCTGAAAAATGAGCGTTTTTGGATTATTCTGAGGTAAGGTGAGGCAGCGCATGAGAACACAGTGAGGGGGCCAGGACCACAACCATGGGTGCTGATGACTTTACCTCCTTCGTCCCCAGGTATTATCTAAGTACCGCAGTGGGAAACTGCCCAAGGCTTTTAAGATCATCCCTGCACTGTCCAACTGGGAGCAAATCCTCTATGTCACTGAGCCCGAGGCCTGGACTGCAGCTGCCATGTATCAAGCTACCAGGTAGCATGGATGGGCTATGGTGGCTGCCCTATGGGACAGGGTGTGGGTGCGCAGGCTCTGCCTCCCTTAGTCATGCCATGGGCCAGCCCATCCCTCTCCCCCTTATTATTCTCTTAACTTGTCCTCTTGCATTTGTAGGACAAAGTCCTGTGGTACACTTCGATGAGAAGGGCTTAGATAGCTTCCAGGCTATGGCCCTGGTGTGGGAGAACAGCTTGAGAACTCTGATTCTCCGGGTGATGGCAGGTCCTTCATGATGGGGAAAAGAGAGCGAGTGGCTGAGAGGCCAGCAAAAACTGGACTATGGCAGTGGCTTGAGGTGCCTTGCTTAAATAATGCACAGAACTCCATGGGTTCAAACCCCAGTCCTTGTAAGAAAATATTAGGGTCTGGACAGGTGACTCGGTGGGTTAGAAGTCCTGGGTTCAATTCCCAGCACCCACATGGTGGCTTCAGGAAGTTAGATTTCTCCTATGGTGTCCATGGGTACCAGGCATATATGGTGCACAGACATAATGCTGGCAAAATACCCACGCACATAAAATAACAAAACAACACCAGGGAGACAGTGCATGCTCTCTCTGTTTGGGGGTCATCCTATATTGCTGACCTCTTCTCTTTGAGCTGACCGGGATGTGGTCTGCACACAGCTCCCATCTACAGCTCTCTGAAATGATGTCCCCGTATCTTACTGTAAAACCTCTTGCGTGCACCATCCACAGTGATATTTAAAGGGCCAGGACCAGACTGTCTTGTGACTTGGAAACTCCCACCCTGCTAGGATTTTTGCCTCTAACCTGAAAGAACGCATGGCTCAGCGCTTCTACAACCTTGTCCTGCTTCCCCGAGTACGAGACGACATTGCTGAATACAAACGGCTCAATTTTCACCTCTACATGGCACTCAAGAAGGCCCTCTTCAAGCCCGGAGCCTGGTTCAAAGGTTAAAAACCCAGGAGTTGGGGAGAAAGGAGGGGTCAGAGGTCCTGCTTGGCAAATGGCTGTATTCCATTGGTGGTCCTTAGATTCAGGGTGGTTGGGTACTGCTTCATTTCCCTTACCGCAGGATTCCATGACTCTGCCTAGGAATCCTGATCCCACTGTGCGAGTCTGGCACTTGTACCCTCCGAGAAGCCATCATCGTGGGCAGCATCATCACTAAGTGCTCCATCCCTGTGTTGCACTCCAGGTAGTGTTGGTGAGGTGGAAGGGGACTGGCCAGTGTGGAGAGCCATGTAGTAGAGAGGCCAGAACTTGGCAAGATTGGCTTTTTAAACCAGTGTGTGTATGATTACTCTAGTACAAGAGAAGGTCTTCAAGAGCAGGGTCCTGGGACCTGGTGCATAGTAGGTGTTCAGTAAACAGTTGAATGGTCGCATAAATGAATGGACACCTAGGAAGAACGTGTGATAAAGGTGGGGGCGGTGAGACATTCAGACATTGGCTGTGGCCGAATTCAGGGATTGCTTGCTATCCAAGCTGGACGCAGAGGTGTGGGTGGAGAGATGGGCTAGTGAATCCTGGAGAGGAGTCATGAGTAGATGAGGAGCCTGTGGCGACACCTCAGACATGCTGTAGGTAAGGCTCAGTCTGGGGAGACTTTCCTCCATGGCCCATAACTCCACCTTCCCTCCTAGTGCGGCCATGCTGAAGATTGCTGAGATGGAGTACAGCGGTGCCAACAGCATCTTCCTGCGCCTACTGCTGGATAAGAAGTACGCATTGCCCTACCGTGTGCTAGATGCCCTGGTCTTCCATTTTCTGGGCTTCCGGACAGAGAAGCGCCAGCTGCCTGTGCTCTGGCACCAGTGCCTTCTGACACTGGCACAACGCTACAAGGCTGACTTGGCCACAGAACAGAAGGAGGCCCTCCTAGAACTGCTTCGCCTGCAGCCCCACCCACAGTTGTCTCCTGAAATCAGACGTGAGCTTCAGAGTGCAGTCCCCAGAGATGTGGAGGATGTTCCCGTCACCATGGAATGAGAACAGTCATCACTCTTAGTCCAGGGGGCATGGGAGCTGGTAACCAGGGTGTAAAGACCTAGGTCAGGGCACTGAAGGGTTACGATGGCATCTGCGGGTCCAGCCCTGGGCAGGAAGACTGAATCTGGTTGGCTCTCTCTGCCATTCTAGGCTTTGGTCCTGCTAACAGGAGTTACCCCAGCTCAGTACGCCCGCAACCCAGCTGGCACTTTCTTTAAGGGCTGCTCTCTCTAGTTACTGTGTCAGCTCACTGGGGTGCAGATAAAACAAAGGCAGATATTTATTGGAGCTCTGTGTTTTGGTATAGTCCCTGGAGGTCCCTGCCTCCCCCGTAGCTAGAGGTGAGAGTTGCTTGTAGCTTTTTCCAGGTCAGAGGAGAACCTCACCCTGCCCCTTATTCTTCACAATTGTCTGTGTGTATGTGAGTGCCTCGCCGACCACTGACATGACATTCATGGGCTCCTTTGGGGACACACCTGCTGCTGCTGCTGCTGCTGCTGCTGCTGCTGCTGCTGCTGCTGCTGCTACCGCTACCATAGAGTTGTCCATTGGAAAGGTGACAGCCATCGCTGTCAGTGAAGACTGCAGGAGCACAGCCTTTCTCAAGCAGACAGCGGCAGAGTCAAAGTCCAGCGGTTTCTTCCTTGCTGAGTAACAAGAGCTTTAGGTGGTTGACAAACCAGGGTCAAATGCCTGTTTATATAGATGATGAGCAAAGAACAATCTTCATAGTTTTTAATGGCTTGGGGAAATTTGTATGAAATTTTAGTTGCAGCAAGCATAGATCTGCAAGTTTGAGGCTAGTCAGGACTAACTATACAGCGAAACCCTATCTCAAAAAACAATTGGGGTGGGAGGTACATCCACGTCCCCCCGTTTTGCACAACTGACTGACTCTAGTCATCCTGCTATACCGCTTTTGCTCTCAAAAAAGTGTCCCGGTTAGAGTCCAGTTCATGTATCTGGAAACAGTTTCAATCTATTGATGCATTCACATTTGCTTGCACTTTTAGTCCATCTTGGAAACAATAGGTAGATGCAAAGAAAACTACACCTAGCTCGGCAAGCCAAATTAAATTGCTCACCATAGCAGTTTGCCTCTCTGCAGTACTGGGGAACTGCAGTGCAGACACACCCGTACCCCATTCATCAGTTTTTGTTTTTTAAGATTTATTTATTATGTATGCAGTGTTCTTTCATGTATGCTTACACATCAGAAGAGGGCACCAAATCCCACCATATATGGTTGTGAGCCACCATGTGGTTGCTGAGAATTGAACTCAGGCCCTCTGGGAGAGCAGCCAGTGCTCTGACCTCTTAAGTTATCTCTCCAGCCCTCATCAGTTATTTTCTAATATATATGAACATTGTGCCTGCATGGCATCAGAGTCTCAGGATTAGCCAATGCACTCAGCTAATGTTCCAGTCCCCAAGTGTGTTTTAGAACAGAATTTTACCATGTAGCACAGGCTACCCTAGAACTTCCTCTAAAGATTACAGGAATCCCGTTGTGTGGGAGCATAACAAAACTTTCACATAAAACTGTCCAGCCCTATTTTCACATGAGCCCTCTGGGGTATGGTGGCCACGCCTTAGACTGTAATTTAGATAAAGAGGACCACATTGCCTTAGCACTCAGTGCCTGAGATGCCTGACTCATGCCTCCCACCTCTACACACAATTCCAGTGACTGCAAAAACCAGGTTTATTCCGGAATCTTTATTAAGGCAGCATGATAGAAATGGGCCACCAGCCCAAACCTTGTGGCCTAAGGAAAGACCTGTGTCAATAGGGTTTGCCCTCTCCAGATAGGCCTCGTCACCCCCAGGGCATCCATCCCTGCTTAAACCCTCAGATGGAAGATGAGGTACTGAGAGAGCCTCAGGAGAGGAAGGCACGGCCCCATCCCAGGCTGTAGCAGCTCCTGGACCACAAAGCAGTAGCAGAGGGGAGGGAAACAGCAACCACCAGGGTTACCACCACTTGTGGGGTACAGGCCTCACTGTACCCTCTTACAGTTGTACTCAAAGCAATAAATTAAAATGACCATCAGCACCCCTCAAGACCCCTCAATCACAGAAGCTAAGCAGGAAGCAAAGCAAGAATTTTGTAGGTTCTTGCCCCTCTGACCAAGGCCTAGGCTGTTCCCTCTGAGTGGCTGGGAGCATAGATTACTCTGCAGCCATCTGTCTGGTTCTTCGTGCATGTCTGTCAGGATGCCTGAAGGACCCAAACCCAAATTCACTGATCTGGGAGGGACAACACCTTTGGAAGGAATTAGGGCGTTTTGGCAATTAAGATTAGACCCCCAGAGAGGAGAGACTCTAAAGGGAATGCTGGTGCATGAGTTTTACCTGTTTGAATTTCTCTAACCAGCAATGGCCCAGAAGAGCCAAGGTGGTCAGGTGGGGAGGAGGAGGAGCTGACTGGCCATGCAGAGCCCTCATGGCCAGCCAGCACCTTAGTGCACACTGTGGGGATAGGCAGGACCTGGCCCCTTGGGCTTTGTGAGAAGAAGAAGGGTCCCCCTCTTCAGATATGGCATGGATTGTTCTAGAGGAAGGGAGAGCCTGGCAGTGGCCCCTCCTCTGCTTGGTGGCCACCTGAAGGGGCTGTTTCAAGCTACAGGTGGATGGCAGTGACATCTGTGGGAGTGCTGGTCTGACTGGATCCCTGGCTGCTAGAGCCCCGGGGAGCTTTGGGCACTGGGCTGGGCGCTGTCTGGGCAGCTTCCCTGAGGCTCTCCCGGAGCGCAGCTTCGATCTGCTCCTGACAGGCCCGTAGGCAGTCCTAGGAAGAAGAACCGAGGTCAGCAGATGGGATTCTTCCCCACAGCATTGAGAGCAGCGGGTGGAGGGAAAGGCCACCTCCCCCCCTGCACACCGGGAAGTCTGGGGAGGTTAGGCCACAGCCCAGCCCAGGAATCAGCTCTTTAGTTCTCAGAAACTGGCAAGAGGATGTGGCAAGGGTGTGAGAGCAGCCCTGCATCTGACACCAAGTCCCCCACCCCAGGCTACAGCATACCACTTGGCAAGAGAGGGGCAGCTACATGCAGTGTCTTTCACCCCACCTGGTCCTCTCCAGAGGCAGGAGATAAAGGCCACAGAAGCAGGCGAGAGTGTACAATTGGAATTTGGGGGTGGGAGTGAATGCCGCCCTCTTCTGGGGATTCAAGGGATAGCATAGCTTTTTGGGAATGGGACCTGAGACTTACCACTTCGGTGCCTGTGATTCCTGCCAGCAGCTCTGTGAGCTCATCTGCAGACATAGAGCAGGCACCTAGGCCTAGCACTGCAGCCCCAATGCTGCCCGTGGCGATCATGGATGGAGGGTACATTGCAAAGGTGTAATCTTGTAAAAGAGAGGGAACCGTGAGAAGAGCCATTTTATACTTCCTACTCCCTGTTACAACATGCCAGACTGCATGAATACAGCATACTGGGAACCCCCAGAAGCGGGTGGGGTGACGCAGGGCCAAGGGGAGGGTTTGGTGTGTGTGCATGGTGCTGGCAATTGACTGAGGCATGCATCTACCATTGAACCACAATACCCCACCCTACCTTGCGTGAAGAGTTTCATCCACCCAGGCTAGAGAATGCCCACAACCCTGGGGTGGAGGCCTTATGCAAGTCACTATATAGTGCCTCACCTCCATCCCAGGACTGCCAAGATCCTACATAAATAGCTCTGAGTATTGAACCACTCCTGGATACTGCTTATCCTTCAAATCCTGGTTATCCAAGGCCCTTACCTGTAGCGCAGAGGGCCAGAAAGGTCTGGGCATGCTTTTTGACCAAGGCCTGTCGGTCGCTGGGCAGAGAAAGGCGGTGCAGAATCAGAGCCAGGAAGTCGTGTGCGATCACAGCAGCAAGGTCCCACTTGAGCTTCCCCAGGACGAGCACCTCCCATTCCTGGGGATGGGGGAATGAGCATGCAGTCAGTGGCTGGCATGAGAACAGGGTGGAAGGTTCACAGCTGTGCTTCTGGCTGCAGGTAGGGGTTGGCACTGAGGGCGGGCAGGAGCTGGGGCATTTACTTCAGCATCTATTCAGCATCACTGGGTGCCAGGATGACTGACATCCCTTAGTCCTCAGGAACCTGAGGCCAGCCTGACTTGAAACAGGCTGTGAATTGCTAGAACTTGAGAGGGCATCATCCCTAGCCTGTCCCTCCCCAGCCCTGCTTCTCAGCCAGACCTCTTAAAGAGACAGAACCAGCATGAAACACCCCTGAGGTTCCTCAGAGGGAGGTTACCCAACCCCACCCACACCCCTTTTGTGGGACATCAGGGGCGGGTCCTATCTTAAGACAGGGAGGCCAAGCCAAACAGGATGAATCCAGATGATCCCTGAGGAACCAGCCCAAGCCTACATAGCCAATGAGAGGTCTTAGAAGGAGGCTAGGATCACTAACCCTGGCTCATTTGTCTGGGGTTCCCAGTCCGGGCCTGAGTTGCATTTCCGAGTTGCACACATGAGGATTTCTTCATTGTTTTATCTCAGGAAGGAACTCATGGGTTTGACTCCTCAATGAGGTAGCAATGTCAGCCCCACCCAACCTCTTCCAGGACCCCAGCAACAGCTGTCCTTCTCTTTGTCTCCCGACCTAGGTGTCAGCCCCAGGCTTCTTAGAGGACCCTACATACAGCGCCTGGGCTAGAGCCAGAAGTAAAGTATAGAGGCTTGCCCTGGTAACCAATAGCATCCAGTCTTCAAGGGAACAAGAGGCAACCAGAGTGTGTGTGTGGGGGGGGGGTCCTCACTGAGGGAAGGTGGTGACCGCCCTTCCCTATAGCCAGACAACATGAGAATCACAACCCTACTTCCAGAACATCATGGCTGGCAGAATACATTTCAATTTCATCCCTGGCTTTAAATGCGTTCAGGTCCGTGCCGTGCAGTAGGAATTTTCCCCTCCTTTCTTGGGCCTCAGCCTCTGCTGTGCAAGGGTTTAGACTGCTGGAGTTCTTGGAGGTCCCTCACAACTCTGACCGCAGGCCACTCAGAGCGCGGGCCTGGAGAAGGACTTACCTATTCTGAAAAACTCCCCTCACACACTCGTGTAGACCACCCTAATCTCTTCTCAAAGAGGAAGTCTACCTCCCTGCCTCAGTCCCTCAAAAACATCTTGCTCCCTGGCTCTGGAACTACTAGATTCCTCACAAAGAGCTGTGGGGCCTCCCGGATTCCCAACTCAGGCCTCCCATCCGTGAGAGCTGCTTGACAGGAAGAGGAATCCAGTTCCCCGACTCACAGCAGTCAGGGGCCCCAGTACCCTAGCTTCCCAGC